TGGATTACAATCCGCCATCAAAATGATACATTTAATTATTCTGGCTGCTGTGAGAAAAGGCTAACAATCTGCCACCTGCAGGATCCTCACATGCGATCGCCTAGTAGCCGAGACAACTTCTTTATGTTTACAGACGTGGCGTAATGACGCAGTGCCATGCTCGAATTTCCCGCGAAAACCTACCTGTACCACTCAAATTAGAAAACATTATTACAAGCTAACCGTTGTGAATCGGGCTAAAGTAAGGCGATAGTTTTGAACACTGGCTGGTTATGTACTTGCTCAAATATTGATTTTGGATCATTTTTAACCAAAAAAAAGTTACGGACTGCAGCTTTAATGAAAAAAGGTACAAAACTTGTCACTAGGGCTGTAGTACTAAAATGTACCATCTAGGGGTAAATAAGGTTTTTTACTTTACTTTATGGTACCATCCCAGTGACAGCTTTGTATCTTGTATGTTTGCTTGAATGCAGGTGGTTTTCTGTTGTGAGATGTTACACTGAGAAACAATTACATGTGCAATTTCATTGCCCGACCCTTTATTCTAACGATGAGAATGAATAGCCTACTATTACTAAATTACTAGCCGACTATTACTAAATCTAAACTCTTGTCTAACTTCTTTATCCTAATCTGAATAAAAACACTTCATGCATCTTGCAGCTGCAGTTTTAGAGAGATTTCACATGATATAAAATTCATACAAATTTTAAACAATACAAATGACTGCAATGCACAACATTACTGAACCTGAAAATTCTCTTGGGTCAACAGAAAAATAAGCCAGATTAAATTAAACGTATTTACATAATTATTTAGAAAATAAAATAAATAAATACAATAGCACACATACAAACACACAGGCAGGTTGACAGTTTAACAGTTAATTTTAGTGCAATGCAAATGAGCTGGACTCTTCTGGGTTGTTTAGCGTAGTAAGCCAGCAGTAGATGGGTCCACAGCATTTCTCCATGTGCAAATGCAGTATCTGTTTAAAAGGTTTGTCATAATTATCAAGGAAACGCTGACTCTGGAAAAATGATGCACAGTTTTAAATGGCTGCTCTCTAAAAATATGTTTCAGGGGGTTAGTAAACAGATAAGAAACAATAAAATGGCAAAAAGAAAACAGCAAAAGTCCTTTCAAATGATTACTCGACAAATGAAACATTATAAATAAAAACAACCACAGTGCAAGATATTTTGGTAAATGTTTGGTATTTAAATATCTGAGTGCAAATTGCTGCTCTAAAAGCATGTGTGACTCATCTGAAGGCACGTCAATAAATTAAAGCTGGGTCAAACTAGATTCCCTGAATTTTGTGTTTCTAATTAAGCTGTTTTTCATGCTTAGGAATTTTTCACCAAAACAAAAAGAGGAAAAACATGCTGAAAATATACTCACCCTCAGGCCATCCAAGATGTAGATGAGTTTGTTTTATCATCAAAGCATTTGGAGAAATTTGTTACATCTCTTGCTCACCAATGGATCCTCTGTAGTGAATGGGTGCCATCAGAATGAGAGTCCAAACAGCTGATAAAAAACATCACAATAATCCACACAGCTACAGTCCATCAATTATTGTCTTGTGAAGTGAAAAGGCTGTGTTTGTTATAGACATTTTTAACGTCAGATCATTGCTTTTGGCTAAAATATGAGAATTGGTTTCACCAGTGAAAATTGTCTCATCTTAATGATGGATTTATTTCTTAGAAACACACAGCTTTTCACTTCACAAGATGTTAACTGATGGACTGGAGTCGTGTGGATTATTGTGATGTTTTTATCAGCTGTTTGGAGTCTCATTCTGACGGCACCCATTCACTGCAGAGGATTCATTGGTGAGCAAGTGATGCAGTGTTAAATTTCCCTAAATCTATTCTGATAAAGAAACAAAC